CATCAGATCAAACAAGAGCAAGAAAGCCTTCAAGAAATCAAGAATCATGTGAATCATGTCTTCAACAAGTAAGCCTAAACTTTTTGGTGTTCTAATGTCATATAATCCTATTTTACGAAATTTCTTACAAACAATGCTATAGAGAAATCTTCAATGCTTCATTAATTGGTTGCTTTAAAAAATTATTGAATTCTGTATCTAGCTAGTTCTATTTATATTCTGTTATCAACATGCGTTTGCATCTATGGAATCAAGGGCGGACCCAGGGAGGCTAGGGTGGGCGGCCGCCCCCCCAAAATTTGAAGAATTTTTTTTAACATAAGTATAATGCCAGAAACCTCCATTTTTCCTCTCCACTAATGTGAAGTAGTTTTCTTCCACGCAGAATTTATAGAGCTTCTTTATATTCTCAGGTCCAATATCTATTGAAACTCCTCCAACTCTGAATGCATTTTTTCTCCCTCAATGAAAGTTAACAAAATGAACAAAACAAAAATACAATAAGAAAGAGTGCACTTCAAATTCTTGTTGGCATATGGAATTAGTATTAAATTATGAGGAAAGATCTGTCTACAATTTTTTTTTTACAAATTACTCTAAGAGCATGTTTGGATCCTCTTATTTTTAAGTTAGAAGCTACTTATAAGTTAAAGCTAAAAAAAAGAGCTTAGAAAAAGTTAAAAGTTGTCTGGTAATTACAAAAAAAATGTAGTTTAAAAGTTACTTAAAAACACATATTTTAAGAAAATTATCTCTATATCTATCTTTATAACTCTTTATTTAAAAAAAAAAAACACATAATTCAAGAAAAACAGATAAGAGCTTAAAAAAAATTCCTCCTGGGAACTTTTAGCTTTCAGCATTTTTCTTCATTATAAAAAAAGAGTTTTTTATTATAAGAACTTTTCTCAAAATATGTTTGGTCTAGTTTATGCTTACAAGTAGCTTTTAGCTTAAAAAGAGAGGATTCAAACAGGCACAAATATTTAATTATTCGTATTTTGGCCTCCCATATATTATGTTTGAAGAGAGAACAAATGTTTAATTTTTAGCCCCCTACAGAAAAAATTCCTGAGTCCGCCACTGTATGGAATGAGTCAAAATAGTAAATGAAAAAATTAATTTGTTGATATAAAGCCTACTTATATCATGATCAAAGTGGAATGACCTGATTATGAGCCCTTAGCAAGTAACTTTACTGCTGCTGCTTTTTGATAGTTATCCAGTAACCACCGAGTTGACTTTTAGAATTACTGTGGCCTTATATGTAACTATGACTTTAGTTAACTAATTTGGCATTGTGTAGATATGGCATAAATGCCTCACTTGAAAGTAGTAGGTGATGGGTCTTGCATCCACAAGGGAATACGATACAGGTTTTAGGTATAGTAACCAAAGTTTATTTTGGGGTGGGAGTGCCCAAGGCCTTATAAACTCAACATTAGTTGATCATCCAACTAATGTGAGACTATATATCTCAACACGCCCCCTTACACGAGAGCCCACTGGGCTTGAAGGGTGGACAACATATAAGCTCACCTACATGTGGAAATTCCACTACAAAGAAAGTGAGAGGCAGTGAGATTTCGAACGCTCTGATACCATCAGTAAAGAACCCTTGGGATACACCACCCCAAAAGCTAGCTCAAAGGGTGGGAGTGCCCAAGGCCTTATAAACTCCACATTAGTTTAGTTGCCAACCAATGTGGGACTATATATCTCAACACTTACAAGTTCACGTCTGCATGATGTTCCTCCCAAGTTTGGTTCCATCAGAATAGGTGAATTGGCGTGTAACAATAATGTTGCCATGCCAATTGATTTTCACGGAAAGTTCGTTTTAAATAGACTTAGTAACAAAATTGTGGAGTGATGTTATGCTAAGACTTTTATAGTTCCCTTCTAGTTTGGTTGAATTTGAAAGAGTGCTAGTTTTTCAAAATGTCTCTCCCAGCTCCAATGCGATCACCACCAGCTGATAAGAAAAAAAAAACTAAAACAAAAAAAAGGGCACCCCTACTATTCTAAGGTATGATTCAACAGCGGGAAATCTGGACACATGGTATGAAATCTAAGTAGGACTACGTTGAAATGATTCTTGCATGTTGTTGAGATATATAGTCCCACATTGGTTGAAGAGCAACTAATGTGGCCTTTATAAGGCCTTAGGCACTCTCACCCTTTGAGCTAGCTTTTAGGGTGGTGTATCCCAAGGTTCTTTAACTTGGTAGCAGAGCTCTCGATCCTGAGGGCTCTGCTTCCGCACCTATTGTCTTTAGAACAAAACCTTTTATTCTTTTCGTCTCTCGCTGCCACCGGAATTTTTTTTTCCGGGGACCTCTTGGACCGAGAAGACCTCTGTTTTTCCTCATCAAACACCTTCAGTCACGTTAAAAATCATATCGTTGTTACTATTCATCACCTATGTTACTGTTCATCACCTCTGTTACTGTTCATCGCATTTTTTTTCAAACAAGACAGAATCTGTTTCATCGCGTTTGGACCTTTTCCCGGCGGTTTTTCAACTCCGACCAGCCCCAGATAGAACCGCGCTCGCCGGAAGACGCCGCCCCAGAAATCTCAGCCCGGAAGACCACCGCACGCGCCCACACGCGCCTCTCCTTCATCGGCGCGTGAAGCCCACTCGCAAACCACTCCACCGGCGCGTGGCGGCGCGTGGGGGTGGTCTCGGCGGCGGACCAGTGCAGTTCTTTTCGTCTCCTTGTCTTCTTTCTGGATCTGTGTTGTTTTCTCAGATCGGACATCGTTTGATATTTTTTCCGTATTTTTTGGCTTCTTGGAGCTTTTCTTTGACCATTTTTTGTGCAGTATGGCCTCTTCTCAAAGGAGTTCCTTTACAAAGTTTTATGATGGTATATCTTCTAGACCTAAGAGAGATGATCGATCTAAGAGAGATGATCGATGGTGTTCTTATTGTAAAAGAACAGGTCATATCAAGGATTTATGCTTTTGCCTCCATGGAAAGCAAACTGTCTTAGAAAAGATAGCAAGGATGCGTGGTCAAGCGCATTTTACTTCCTCTGAAATAACCCTTGCACCTAATGAGACCCAACCTGCATTTCGTCCAGATGAGTTGGAACGGCTCCGAACCATCCTTCATTATTTGAGTAAGCGATCTGATACTAATGCTTTGGCTATGTTACTGTTACTGTTACTGTTCATCACCTCTGTTACTGTTCATCGCGTTTTTTTTTTCAAACAAGACAGAATCTGTTTCATCGCGTTTGGACCTTTTCCCGGCGGTTTTTCAACTCCGACCAGCCCCAGATAGAACCGCGCTCGCCGGAAGACGCCGCCCCAGAAATCTCAGCCCGGAAGACCACCGCACGCGCCCACACGCGCCTCTCCTTCATCGGCGCGTGAAGCCCACTCGCAAACCACTCCACCGGCGCGTGGCGGCGCGTGGGGGTGGTCTCGGCGGCGGACCAGTGCAGTTCTTCTCGTCTCCTTGTCTTCTTTCTGGATCTGTGTTGTTTTCTCAGATCGGACATCGTTTGATATTTTTTCCGTATTTTTTGGCTTCTTGGAGCTTTTCTTTGACCATTTTTTGTGCAGTATGGCCTCTTCTCAAAGGAGTTCCTTTACAAAGTTTTATGATGGTATATCTTCTAGACCTAAGAGAGATGATCGATCTATGAGAGATGATCGATGGTGTTCTTATTGTAAAAGAACAGGTCATATCAAGGATTTATGCTTTTGCCTCCATGGAAAGCAAACTGTCTTAGAAAAGATAGCAAGGATGCGTGGTCAAGCGCATTTTACTTCCTCTGAAATAACCCTTGCACCTAATGAGACCCAACCTGCATTTCGTCCAGATGAGTTGGAACGGCTCCGAACCATCCTTCATTATTTGAGTAAGCGATCTGATACTAATGCTTTGGCTATGACTGGTATGAACTCCAAAACTCATTCTTTCCTTTCTTCATGTAATGATTTTAAACATTCTTGGGTTGTTGATTCTGGTGCTACTGATCATATGGCTTGTTGTGCTGACTCCTTTACTTCTTATCATCCTACCATTGGAACTCATACAATAGTCATAGCTGATGGCTCACATACATCAGTTGCGGGTTCTGGTGACATAAACTTACAGCAATCCTTACATCTTAAAGATGCTCTTCATGTTCCTAAACTCTCCACGAATCTTCTTTCTATTCATAAAATTACAAAAGATTTGAATTGTACTGCAACCTTCTTCCCTACCCATTGTGTTTTTCAGGATCTCGCCACGGGAAAGATGATTGGTAGTGCTAAAGAGCAAGGTGGGCTGTACTATCTGGTGTCACAATCTCCCGCAAGTAAAGTAACAGATCACATCTTGATGTCTCATGGTCAATCAACTGCTGATTCTTTGATTTGGCTTCATCATAAGCGCTTGGGACATCCTCCATTTGGTTTACTCAAGTCTTTATTTCCTTCATTGTTTTTTTCTAAGCCTATTGAGTCTTTTCATTGTGATGTTTGTGAGTTTGCTAAGCATCATCGTGTGTCTTTTCCTTCTAGTAGTACTAAGAGTGTTGATCATTTTGATTTATTCATTCTAATGTTTGGGGTCCTTCTAAAGTCCCTCATGCTTCTGAAAATAGATGGTTTGTTTCTTTTATTGATGATTGCACTCGTGTAACTTGGGTTTACTTAATGCGTGAAAAGTCTGAGGTACCACAACTGTTCTTTTGTTAAGAACCTTGAGGTTACCACCCCAAAAGCTAGCTCAAAAGGTGAGAATGCCCAAGGTCACATATTTCTCAAAACATGTGTTTCTAGTAGGCTTTGTACGGTATACTTTTGTACCAACTTTACTTTTTTTAGTTGTAACCGAGCAATCAGTGTTTATGTAAAGGACAGATGAGGGGTCCTTGTCCTGAAAGGCTGAAAGAAACCACTTTTGTTTGCTTACTCCAGCGTTTTCTTTTGTTATTCTGATACTTCTCTTTGCATCTCTCTCAATCAGCTCCACCTTCTTTCTCTTTATCCTATTGCTATGTTTTACCAATTTTACTGTTGACAATGAAAAGATCAGCTTCAAAAAGTGCATCTAATGATGTGAACAAGGGAAGTATAGATTGGGAGCTTAGACCTGGTGGTATGCTTGTTCAGAAGAGACAACCTCTTGAGTCCTCTTCTAGTCCTATGATCAAAATCAAGGTCTCTCATGGTTCTAATCACCATGAGGTTACTGTTCCTGCACAATCCACTTTTGGTAAGCATAGAATCATTTGCATTTTGGGGGACTCCCTCCTTTCTTTCTTTCTTCATTTACTCCTTTTCCACAATTCTACATGTATTTACCTCCTTGGCTATATTGTATGAAAGGGTAACGCCTATAACTAAGTCTGTTTTAAAATCATCAGAAGTACACTTTTTTGGGGTTTTATCTGATGAGAAGTATCAATATGGCCAATCTCTTTTATGGACAGTTAGATAATGTTGGAATGAGTACTTCGGTTATAATAATTGTTATCGAGAAAATTGCAATTGCCATTCCTTTTGATAATAATTTATCAATCCCCCTTCTTTTCCTTGCTTGTTGATCTTTATCTGGCATTGACTAAACTGACACGGGTTCGAATCCGAGAAACGATCTTTTTGCATAGTAAAGCTCTAATGGCGTGGAGTGATTTTTTTATATATTGCATTGTTTATTTATTTTTTCTAGTACATACATGCGTTGCATTACTTGGGGCATTTGAGTATTGGCATTGGAATAGTTATGCTGTTCCAATATTACCCGTTAGATTCTGAAATTGATGCCTAGCTGGTCTGTTTGGATCAATGGAAGGGCATCTCAAAGGGGTCCTTGCATCCGAGACTGGCCTAGAGCCTAAGGAACAAAGGTTACTATTTAGAGGAAAAGAGAAGGAGGATGAAGAATGCTTGCATATGGTGGGAGTGAAAGACATGTCTAAAGTTATATTGTTAGAGGATCCAGCCTGCAAAGAGAGGAAGCTTGAGATGCAGAGGAGTGAAGATATCTTAAAGGCCTGCGAAGCAATCTCCAGTGTCAAAACAGAAGTTGACAAGCTATATCAAAAGGTGGTATTCGTTATCATGCAACTCTTTTATGAAATTCTGAAAATAAGGTATCACTAACCAATTCTCCTATAAGTTATTGGACGAAGGCATTATATGTGTGTATTATATCTAACATAAGGCTGCCTAATATTTGAAAATTGTTAGGTGGTTGCTTTGGAGAAGATTGTTAGTGGTGGTTCTAAGGTTGAAGACAAAGAATTTGTTATCTTGACAGAATTGCTAATGGTTCAACTGCTTAAACTGGACTCCATTGTAGCTGATGGAGAAGCCAAAGCACAGAGAAGAGTAGAGGTTAGCAATAGCTACTTGTGATATTTTGGTTAGTAGATGGTCATGGTCCAAAGAGGTTGACTACTCATTCCTGACAATGATTCTCAAATGACTCAAATTTCTTATTAACAAAAAAAAACTAGTAACCAGCATTTAGTGATATGAGATGTACGTGCCTATATGGAAAATTGAAAATCAAAACCCCAATTTTGGTGTAATGTAGAGTTCCTTACAGATTCTTACAGAGTCAATTGCAAACATTGTAATAAGCAAAAGACAGTCTGTATTGACAAAACTATGTGGCCTCCATCCTCACAAAAAAAAAAAAAAGGGTTTTATAAGAGTTATGTTGTAGGAAAAGTGATTGTGTAATGTTATAGAGATTCGTTTTGCGTGCCTTAATTTTTTATTTATTTTTTTGTTTTAAAAAGTGTGGGCCCCACAAAATGTTGTGAGAGTAGGAAAGTTTGTTGTGTTATGTTAAAGGATAAAACGAAAACCCAAAAAAAAAACAGGAAAATACTAAAAAGTATGGGATCTATTTATCTCATGTTGCATGAGATAATTATATCATGCAATAGAGACATGATAGTAGGATCTACTACTTTTTCAAAAAAATAAAAATGAAAAATAGTGGATCTCACTACTTTGTCTCTGTTGCATGAAATAATTATAATTATCTCATACAACATGAGATAATTATTTCTCAAAAAGTATTATATAAGGAATTAAAATCTCAAATGCCATTGCTCAACTTATTTCTTCCCATTTTTTTTCTTTCTTGAATGCAGATTCCAAATTAATAATGATAGCTCATATACAAGTCCTTGTACACAGGTTCATCGGGTACAGAGTTATGTAGAGACAATTGACAACCTAAAGGCAAGAAATTATAATGCATTTAGCAATTCTGCTAACAATGCAGTCTCTGTGATCACCAAATGGGATGCATTTGGATCAGAAGTTGGAAGCTTGAAGTCACCAACCCCAATTCAGTCGTCAACTGTGATTACTCAAAATTGGGAGCTATTTGAATAAATAGAAGTTCCGTCCTCTGCATTTTGTTTATTTCAAGGAAGGGCTTCTATGAACACTTGGCCTTCGTAATGCCAAGTTGTTTTTAGTACGGAAGGGTTATGCTCGTACAAATTAATACATGTATATGTTATTACTCTGTGCCTAAATAATAAACAGTTGAAATTATTACAATTTTTTTTTTTTTTAATTGAACCTTTGTTTGGCTTTATGTTCGCAAATTTACACTTGAGGATAATGTGTTCATCAACCGATCCAAACTTATTCAAACCATGGTGACCGAATCGAAAAATCGATAATCAAATAAACCGAAAACCGAAAAAAAAATCGCAAATTTTAATTAGATGGGATCGATTTTTGAATTGGTAGATGAAAATCGATCCAATCCAATATATTAATTTTCTTCTACTTACTTGGATCTTTCCTCAATCATGACCCAATCCAAATCAATAAACTCAAGACCTATTAACCCATTACCTAAACTAAAAAAAAAAAAATTAGTCACATCTCATCAACAAAATTTTATCTATATAGAATTTCATGTCTCATTGTCACATGTCAAAAAGAATTACAATCTAGAATTGTAGATTGATTAACATGGCATCGGTTTGTATGAAATATTGAGTGATTAACGAACGCCCCTTTTTCGGTTGAGTTTCGCTTGGAAACACGATTTCAGATGAGTATTTTAAGATTTTGTGTAAGATTAGGCCGGAAAAAAATTGTAGGATTGCACGTTACTGATTGTATGTTTGAGTTTGTTCTAATTTTTTTCTCATTTTAAAATTGTTTTGTAGAATAATTAATGAAATGTGCATTTTCTATATTATTCTTAATTTTAAAAATTTAAAGTCAAAATACAAAATAAAAATAACTAAGATATGTTCTCTAAATTTGATTCTCAAAAAATAGTTAATATTTTTAAATTTTATTTTACAAAATAGACATTTTCAAATAGATTTTTTCTTTTCCAAAAATCAAAAAATGATTTTTCAAAACAAATTTTAAAAAGGTGAAACCTCTGTTTTTGGTGAATTCAAAGTGTTGAGTTTAAACCTTTAATTTCAAGACTCTTTTCAAATTGAGCTAGTCACAAAATAATAAAGCGAATGGAATATCTTCGAAAAAAAAGTGTTGAGTTGGTGAGTCATAAAATATGAAAGTTTTTCAAACCTGACCCATACTAATGATACTATATATAGTTAGAGGAAATAACTTGCATTTTAGCCTTTAATTAATTTTTTTTATGGTACATAATAGGGCCTAAGCCCAGAAAACACACAAAAACTAAGAAAATAACAAGGTACGAGGCCTACCAACAGAAGAAACATATGCAAAAATAAAATGTCACTTGGAGGCACACGAAAAAGCATAGCATCCACTTCCTCCCCTTTGTCCAAAATGAAATTGGCCAATCAGTCCGCACACATGTTGCCTTCTCTGTAAGTATGACAAAGCTTAATGATCCAATCTTTTTTAAACCATGTCCGTATGCGGGAGACAAGATGACTCTCACGGACTGTTATACCAGAGCTGGATAGCAAAGTGATTGCACTAGAGGAATCACTTTCCAATTCAATATTACGAAATCCTTCCTTCCAAGCCAATTCCAATCCACGAAGAATTCCAATTTATTGAGTTATACTTATTAATTAATTATTAATTTTTAATAAATTATAACCGTTAGATTGGCAAAAATTAACAGTTAAAATTTGGTAGTAAGAGATAGTAAGAAAAAGAGGTAGTAAGAAAAAGAGATAGTAAGTATAAACTTTCCCTTATATAAATTAACAAATATTACCTGCAAATTAAAGGATGCGAATCTTGGAATTGCCACCTTGAGAATGAGTTTATATTTCTACAACTTTCAATCCAAAGTAGCGTAAGTAATGCAAGAAAAAAAAAAAAAAAAACCTTTTGATGGGTTGAGTTCGCTTGCCAAATGAAATGAATAAAATATTTGGGTCAAAAATAAAGGAAATAACAAATTAAATCCTTTCGGCCCACTGCTTATAGAATAAAAAATAATTATTTGATCCACAAAAAAAATTAATTATTTGCTAGAATGCTCATCTTTAAATAAAAGCTGTTTAGGAACAATTTTTTCAAAATGAAAAATTTGGTTCTTCGTATTGCAATTTCTAAGCAGAAAAATTTGCTTATTGTTTTAGTAGAAATGGTTAAAAATAATAAATAATTTTTTAAGAAATATTAATACTCAAGCACCCTTATTGATAATCATTAATTACGTTGCTATCATAAAATATGTAAAAGCTAAACCACTTAGCCATAATGATAATAATAATGAAATATTAAAAGGGGTTTGTTTTTCTCATGTTACATGAGAAAATGAACCCCTTCTTACACACACCATAAAAAGATGTGCCACTTATTTTTTTGTTTTTTATTTTTTTTAAAGTGGGTCCAGAGGAGGACTCACACTGTTTTTTGTGTCTGCACATGCAGACACAAAAATTTCAGAATTTTTTTTTAAAAGGGTGGGTGATTTAGGTCAAGTAAAAAAAAGATTTAGGAAGATTGAAAAGAAAAAAGTAAACATAGGCCCAACAATGGTAGTTAAAATTGAAATCTTACCTAAAATCTGAGGGAGGATAAAAAATTGTGGGTTCGTAGTAATTCGATAAGTCTCAATGAAAGGTAACTTTCTATATTTATTTTATTTGTTATTGTAACAACTTAGTTGTCTCTTGATTATTATTATTTTTATGTTAAGTTAAAGTTTTCTTTTCTTTTCTTGTTTATATTTTTTTAATACATTTAAAATTTTCTTTAAAAAAAATCTTCGGAGGCGCTGCCCCCGAACCCCCGCTTTAAGTGTGCACACATAAAAAATATTTTCTGCGTCCGCCACTGGGTGGGTCCCATACTTGGTGTATCTATGACATAAGATTAGAATTCTCCTACAACCTAAGATTTATTTTTCCCATATTACAATTACAAATAACATTTTCATTTGCAGTGTACCCAAATCACAGTTGCTGATGCATTGTGGATGCTAAGGGTGTGCATGACAATCTTCCCGGAATTACTTCTTTTTTTTTAATTTCTGCTCCCAGGAACAGAAATGGATAAAAAAACTCGTTTGGTAAAATCGATTTATTTTTTTCTTCCTAGAATGAACCGGTTTAATTTTTGTGTAGAAGAACAGAAAAAAGAATCAAAAAATTTCTGTTTTTTTTTCGGGCACAAAATGAGAAACACTTATCTCTCTCAATTATTCTCCACCATCGCCACCACCATCCCGACACGACCACCACCACCACCTCCATACCACTACCACCACCACTACCACTACCACCATCACCATTATCACTACCACCATCACCAACCACCACCATCATCGTAGCTACTGCCACCACCACCACGACGCCACCACTATTACTGCCATCACCGACGTCGCCATGTCATCACTATCACCATCGTCGCAGCCACTGCTGTCACCACCACCACCACCAGTACCATTTCTGCCGCCGCCGCCGCCACCATGCTATCATCATCACCATTGTCGCAGTCATTGCCGTCACCACCACCACCACTACCGTCGTCGCCATTATGCCACCGTTACAACCACTACACCATCGTCACCACCACCGCCATGTCATCACCATCACCACTGCTGCCACCATTATCACCACCATCGTTGCAGCCACTGCTGTCACCACCGCCACCTCTACGTCACAGCCACCATCACCATCATCATCACCACCACCACCACTACCATTATCATCATCACCATTATCACTACCACCACCACCACCATCATCGTAGCCACAACGCCACCACTACTATCGCCATCGCTACCGCCACCACTACACCATCGCACCACCGCCTCCATGTTATCACCATCGTCGCAGCCACTGTTGTCATCACCACCACCACCACTATTATCGCCGCCACTGCCACCACCATTACTGTCGCCGCCCCTCCACCACCATGTCATCATCATCACCATTGTCGTAGCCATTGCCGTCACCACCACCACTACCACCATGTCATCATCATCGCCATTGTCGTAGTCACTGCCGTCACCACCACCATTATCGTCGTCGCCGCCACCATTATGCCACCATTACCACCACTACACCATCGCCACTGTCACCACCATGTCATCACCATCACTGCCACCATCGTTGTGGCCACTGCTATCACCACTGCCACCTCTATGTCAGCATCACCATCATCACCACCACTACCGCCACCATCACCATCATCACCACCACTACCGTCACCACCTCCGCCATCATCACTACCACTGTCGCCGCTATCATGCCATCACCATTGCCAATTTGCCACCACCACTACCATCGTTGCCACCACCATACCATCATCACCACCACCACCACCACGCCACTACTACAACCACCACCATTACCACCGCCGCCGCCACCACCACCATCACCACACCATATGAAAAGGAAAGTGATGATCCAAAAAATTTTAATGCTTAATAGGAATGATTTTTTATTCCATTATTTGTTGTGTTTCAAACACAATTCTCATTCATTGAATAAAAATAAAACATGTAATCAAACATTTTTTTTTTCTCAGAAACTGTTCCAAGGCACACAAAAAAAAAAAAAAATTGTTTCTTTTTAGAAACAGTGCCAGAGAACAGAATGGTTGTCATGCACACCCTAAGGCTAATTAATACAACTGTTAATAATTATAAACGGGGCTTAAGTCGTACAATAACATGTATTCTGATTAAATGAATATTTTATTTTATTATTTTGATTAATGTTACATAATAAAAAAAATTAAACAAAATTCAGTCAAAATTTAATTAGATTTAAGAATTTAGAAAAACTTATACCTCAACAAATTAATTCTGGCTGAGTAAAATTAATTCCTTTTTTTTCTTTTTCTTTTCTCTAACCTACCTTTGCTCCTTTTTTAATTCTATAATAATATTTGCTTGGAAATGAGATTCTAGTGTATAATTAAGTGGAAAACAAAAACAAAATTTATAACCTTGTGTAACACCTAAATGTAGAGACAACACCTCTAACGGGTAGGTGGATTTTCTCCTCTGGCATCCATACTACCATTCTAGAATCTTATTTTATGTATCAAAAAAGAAAAATGAAATAAACAACAAAATACTGAAATGGTATCAAATTAATGTGCAAATAAATGCGATTTGAGGTGGCAGCAAAAATCAAATAAATTAAATAAAGAAAAAAATTCAAAAAAAAACCCTGTTAATTAAAATGCTAGATTAAATTTTAAGTAAACTTTAATGATATATATTTAAAGTATACTCACCTTCCATTTTGTTCTAAAAATTATACATTTTCTGCTAATTTTCACCTGTGCATAAGGTTGTCAGATAATTGGATAATCAATTCTTCAAGAGCGTCAAGGTTATATGACTCTAGTTAGCAATACCTCAAGTTTGGTATACAAATATATATGTTAACAAATATGCAGATCCAGTTCCTTATCATGAAAGATCTCATAGAATCATTTGGTAAGAAGCCAATTCCTTATTATGGGATTCAAGACTTTTGAAGTATGAAGGAGCAGCAACACTAATTTAGAGAATTGCAGACCCTCCAAATTTGGTAAATAATAAATGAGTGCTACACATTCCAGAGTCTTGAAGCATCCAGCCACCTCACCACCATAGAATTCATCAGTGAAAACCATTAAAGATTGTAGATTAGGAAAGATCAACCTTAGATTTGCACAATAGACTGTGTGCTGGTATTCAAATCTGCACTAAAGATCAGCAGTGATTTTTTTTCCTAACCAGTGCTGGTGCTTTACTTACTGTTTAAGATAAGCAAATCGAATCAAAAATCTCTTACGAAGAGGCATAAAATTGACCATGCTGCCCAATCCAGCAACCAAACATACCATTTTCTTCCAATGTGATGCAGGGTAGGAAATCTCCTTTTCAAAAGGTATATATGGTAAATACATGTATTTCTGCCGTGTGTTGATAAAGGGGTAAATTCATCTCACCAACTTGAATCCTATACACTTATATAAAGAAACAATTAGGGGTCAGTGTGAGTGAGTCAAAATTCCTGCTTTCTCTAATGTAAGAAGGCAAGTCTATTTTCTAGTAGATTTTTGTGTGATTTGTGCAAAACCTTAGTCTATATTCATGCTAACCCCTCTTAACTAGTCATTCATTGTTTTGACACAGACAAGAGAACTGAGGAATGAGAGACCTTACAAAGAGAAAGATTGGTGGTCACTTGGCAGAAGAGCAATCATGTCCAAAGAAACCAACTCTAGTTAAACCACTTCCTCTAAGGGCTCCAGCTAAAGTGCTTTTAGGAACTGGCTCATCATTTCAACCATGGAATAAACCCTCCGGGAACATTATTGGCCTTGGTATTGCAGAGGCTAGCAGCAGCGGAATGGAGAACAATAAACAGAACATAGAGAACTCAAATTCTGATCATCCTGCAAAGGAGAACCCCACCAATGGTGGTGGTGCTACTACTGACGACAACACTACCAAAACTGATTGCAACACTAAACCAGAAATAATGGATAGGAAGCTCAAGCGGTAATATATATGTTATTGTTACTTACACTGCTCATAAATATAACTATGGTACGTGATTAATGTATATTACATACGTATTTGTTGGTTTTGCATCTTTTGTTCTTTTGACCGCAGAATCATTTCAAACCGACATTCTGCACAGAGATCTAGAATGAAGAAAAAAGCGTATGTGGAGGATTTGGAAAGCAAAGCAAAATCTTACAAGGTGGTTTTTCCTTATACATGCATGCGTACGTGTGTTTATTTGTGTGACTATATGCGACAAAAATATTAACATATCTAAGATACTCCGAGATTTTCCTATGCAGGAAAAGATAGCCCAACTCCATCCACAAATTGAAGCCGAACAATCTCAGCTCCACTTATTGCAAATTAATCAGCATAAATTGAAACTACATATGGCTGCTCGTGAAAAGCAAAGAATACTTCAAGAAGGTATGACATGTCTTGTCCCATTGTAAAAATTTTATGCATATCAATATTAAATAGGTGGGGTCCTATTAAAATTTTGTTAATATTTATGGAGAGATATAAATACAAAAATTTTCATGTGAGATGATACATTCACAATTCAGACGTTAACTTTTTGGATGTTAATGCCGTTTATAAGATTATAGAGTTCTGTTTTTTCAGTTGCGATTGAAAAGAACAGAGCTGAAGTGGATAGGCTGAGGGAACTCCAAAGGAAATTAATAGCTGAAGCTCAGGCCAGGATGATGAATTCGGGTGCTTCTTTGCAGCTGATATCCAATTCCAACTTAAACCCTTCAGGCTTGGGAGGGTTGGCTCACAAAAACTTCGATCAAGGTTAGAAATTTAGAACAGAAAATTATGTGGATATGACTTTTGTTAAATAAAATGGCATTTTTGGGAGCTTTATCCTGTTAGAGAGATTCAAACCAACCATGATAAGTTTCACTTCAACCCAAAACATTAAGGTATTGGATGAGGTTAAGTTAATTATTTTATATCTTTCTAACACACTCCTCACGCAAGCTTATTTTTTTATCTGCCTTGTGCTTTTTTTAATTTTCCGTGAAAGTGGAGACAGTGAGGATCAAACTCCTAAAACCTTAAGGTATTGGGTGAGGCTAAGTTAATTATTTTATATCTCTCTAACATGTCCACCATGATGCTCTGAATATTTTAAATTTCATTATTTTCGACCGTTCTTCTTAGTACTGGTTCTTAACTATAGTTTTGGTATCAAGCAGCTCTAAATGGAGTAGAAACATCAAAAAGGCAAGTTGATAATGCCCAACCACCACAAAGTCAGAGCCAAATGGGGATAGCAAAATGGGATAACAGAAGATCAATTCTCAATTTCAACTTAGTGAAGTCCGAACCGGAATCATGAATTTCTGCCATCTACATGGCATGGACAAGTAATGCGGGTTACATGCAGATGCACTGCAACAAATTGTGGTTATTTGGAATTAGGTTGTGAGGGAATCCATGTTATATTCCTCAGTAGTTTTGACTTCTAATATTCGAGTTCACTGCTAATCCTATGCGTGACGATTTATTTTTTGTTATATTTTGAATTATAGAGCTGTGAATTCGAGTTTATATTACCAATACTTTCTATGCTTTTCTTTGGCTTTATAGAGGGGCCAAGTGCCAACAAGTAGTTATTTGTGTTTTTCGTTTCAAAATATCGAAATCTAAATTATTGGCGGGGTTAGCATGTCACTGCTCTTCCTTTACGTATTAAGTATTTTCTCCTCTGATAGTAGATATCTTATGTCCTGATGCAGACATAGTACATGATAACTCAGAGAAGGATAAAACAATAATCCAGCAACACGAGAGTTGTTTTTCCCCTAGATTTAAATGGTATTTTTTATCTCTAAAATAAAGTAGTTAAAAAAAAATATTGAGTAAATATTTTTTTGGGCCTTCATCAAAAATCACGTAACTCATTTTTAAGGGATTAATATGGATTTTCTTTAAATTTTAGAGGGATCACAATTTCTAAGAATTGGAATTTTAAATTAACCATAAGTCGATTTTTTTTTCTAAGAAATTAAAATGAGTTCCGTATTTTTTGTTGAGGACAGATAAACTTGATATTTCAACTGTGTGTTTATCTCATTCATTGGTAACCTTTAAATAGGCGAACATACAATAAATGGTAACAACGTAACAGACTAAAACAAATAAATACTCTATCTAAACAGTCCTACGGTTACAAAGAATTGAATTCAAACAATATACGTTACAAAGAATTCAAACCTACGGTTACAAAGAATTCAAACAATATACGTTACATATAATCTCCAACACTCCCCCTCAAGTTGGAGTATGTAAGGATGAAATGCCCAACTTGGGAAGAAAACTAAGAAGCTCGCGTTGTCCCAAGGCTTTAGTAAACAAATCAGCAAGTTGGGAACGAGAAGACACATGAGCTGTTGTAATATGCTTGGCTAGAATATGTTCACATACAAAGTGGCAATCTAACTCAATATGCTTGGTACGCTCGTGAAACACCGGATTCGCTGCAATGTGTAAAGCAGCTTGGTTATCACAAAACAATTCCATAGGACTTGAGTGAGTGACCCTAAGAGAGGTCAGAAACGACTTGAGCCACACAATCTCTGCTGTAGCTGCAGCCATTGATCTATACTCTGCTTCTGCAGAAGAGCGAGACATCGTTACTCCAATTGTGCTGGAATGACCATCAGCAACATGGACGGTGCTCCCCCTTAAGAGGAACTTCTAAACAATGCCGGAATTATCATCGGCAAAGACAATTGTGCTGGAATGACCATCAGCAACATGGACAGTGCTCCCCCTCAAGAGGAACTTCTAAACAATGCCGGAATTATCACAGGCAAATACAATTGTGTTGGAATGACCATCAGCAACATGGACAGTGCTCCCCCTCAAGAGGAACTTCTAAACAGTGCCGGAATTATCACAAGCAAAGACAATTGTGCTGGAATGACCATCAGCAACATGGACAGTGCTCCCCCTCAAGAGGAACTTTTGAATAGTGCCGGAATTATCACAGGCAGAGACAATTGTGCTGGAATACAATTGTGCTGGAATGACCATCAGCAACATGGACAGTGCTCCCCCACAAGAGGAACTTCTAAACAGTGCCGGAATTATCATCGGCAAAGACAATTGTGCTGGAATGACCATCAGCAACATGGACAGTGCTCCCCCTCAAGAGGAACTTCTAAACAGTGCCGGAATTATCACAGGCAAAGACAATTGTGCTGGAATGACCATCAGCAACATGGACAGTGCCTGATATTGGCTATGTTGCTTGATATTGCTTGATATTGGCTAAACAGATTTCAGTTGATACTGTCTTGGAAAGTTTTGCACTGCATACCTTTCCTCTAGGTCATTCCATAAGTCCTTGACGTCATCAAAGCACTTGATGAATGGTTGAAGTTTTGCATCAATGGTGTTGTGAATCCAACCATTGAGCATCGAATTGCACATCTCCCAGGCGCGCCACTCTTCGGCATCATCCTCTCCTGGTTTCTTGACTGAACCGGTCACAAAACCCAATTTGTTTTTCGCCTTCAATGCGTTTTTCATGAGCTTGGCCCAGTTGTCATAGTTGGCCTCACCACGCAGCATGACAGTCGTTAACAAGAGACCTGGACTGTCGGATCCAGCCAAGTAAAATGGCGAACTAGGATCAGTTGTTTTGGACTTGCTGCCACCACCTGGTGCCATGTTAAATGAACCAGCTTTCGCACTGAAAGGGAATGCGGAAACGTGTATACTAGGATTGCTCTGATACCAAGATAAACTTGATATTTCAACTGTGTGTTTATCTCATTCATTGGTAGCCTTTAAATAGGCGAACATACAATAAATGGTAACAACGTAACAGACTAAAACAAATAAATACTCTATCTAAACAGTCCTACGGTTACAAAGAATTGAATTCAAACAATATACGTTACAAAGAATTCAAACCTACGGTTACAAAGAATTCAAACAATATACGTTACATATAATCTCCAACAAGGACCCACAATGATATTTACTCAAAGAAATTCTACCATTTTTTGGTTTTGTATCTTTTCGGTTTCAAAGTTTATAAAAAAAGATTAGCCAAGACCCATGTTATCCTTTCAATTTCTTTTGTTCATTCAACACATTATCCCATTATTCCTGTTCTTACCATCTCACTCTTCTTGGGTTTGCGGTTTCAGATCTCGCAACGTAACAAGTTTCTTTCTCAAACTTCTAACATTCTCTCTCAATTATGTTTGAGCTTGGTAACAAGTGATATTTCCTTCTTTCTTTATGAATAAATTATCTTTTGGATTCTCAACAAATATTATGGGACCCATTTTAATTTCTTAGAAAAAAAAATTTGATTTGTGGTCCTCTAAAATTCAAAATAGATCCAGTTAGTTAAAATTGTGATCCCTCTAAAATGCAAAGATGACTCACGTTAGTCCCTTAAAATGACTAACATGAATCTATTTTGAATTTTATAGGGAGTACAAGTTGACTTTTTTTTCTAAGGTATTAAATTGGGCCCACGATATTTGTTTAAGATCCAAAAGGTACTTTACTCTTTATTTATTTATTAAGTGTTTTAGAGATATAATATAAAACCAATGATAGGTCTTCACTTAAAACTTTAAACTTTTGAGTTGAAATAGTTCTTTACATGAAACTAAAGCCTTTATGGCTAAGTGATCACAACTCTTTTCCTCACCGCCCATATTCTATTAATAATTATAAGCCTTTTTTTCATTGTTCAATTGATTTTTTTGTGGTTTTCCAAAAATTCGTGGTGGTTGTACAACATATATGATTTCGTTGAAAGGGGTACCTCCTAGAAGAGATGAAGACTCTATGTCCAACATATAGTCAATGATTTCGCCCTTTAACCAATCCGGCATGCATGATTGACTAAGTCCAACACAGTCAAATAACATTTTATGTAAATAAAATCATGATTTTCAAATATTAATATATATGTAATAAGAAATTAAAATAAAGGATTAAATTACACATAATCCTAAAATAAAGAAATTGAAAAGAAAATCCATCATTTTTTGGTTTCGAAGCTTATAAAAGCCCGTGAAAGATTAGTCGAGGCTCACATTACCCTTCCAATTTCTTATGTTCATTCTACACATTACCCTGGTATTCCCGTTCTTCCTTTCTCTTCTAGGGCTTGTTGCCCAACTTAACAAAGTTCGTCCTCAAAATTTTAACATTCTCTCTCAATCATGTTTGTGCTTGCTAACAAGTGTTATTCCATTTTTTTCCTTTCTTTTATTTTTTCATTGGATTAGAGAGATATAATATAAAACCAATTATGAGTCTTTACTTAAGTATTCACTTTTGAGTTAAATGATTTTTTACATGGAACTAGAGCCTTTGTGACTAAGTGACACAAGTTCGATCCTCATTGTCCATATTCTATTAATAAATAATTAATATTGTAGAATTTGTTAGCATTAAATAGATATAATATAAAACAATTGATGGGTCTTCACTTAAAATCTTAAACTTTTGAATTGAAATGATTTTTTACATGGAACTGAACAAATGACATTTTTTGTAAATAAAATCATAATTTTTCAATATTAATACAAATGAAATAAAACCTGAAAATAAAGGATTAAATTACAAATAATCATAAAATAAAGAAGTTGAAAAGAAATTCTACCATTTTTAGTTTCGAAGCCTATAAAAGCCCATGAAAATTACCCAAAACCCACATTACCCTTTTAATTTCTTTTATTCATTCTACACATTACCCCAGTATCCCTGTTCTTTCATTTTTCTCTTTCTTCTTAGACTTGCTTCTTCAGATCTCGTAGCTTAACAAAGTTCTTCCTTAAAACTTTAGCAGTCTCTCTTAATCATGTTTGTGCTTGCTAACAAGTGGCATTCCCTTCTTCTTTTTCTTTCCTATTTTTATTGTGTTAGAGAGATATAATATAAAATAATTAATGTGTCTTCACTTAAAAGCTTAAACTTTTGAGTCGAAATGATTTTTTACATATTAATATTGTGGAATTTGTTAGCATTAGAGATATATAATATAAAACTATTGATGAGTCTTCACTTAAAAGCTTAAATTTTTGAATTAAAATGGTTCTTTATAGGAACTAAAGTCTTTGTAACTACGTGATCAAAAGTTTGATCCCCACCACCCATATTCTATTAATAATTAATTAATATTATGAAATTTGTTAGCATTAGAGAGATATAATATAAAATAATTTATGAGCCTTTTTTCATTGTTCGTTCGTTGTGGCTTTCCAAAAATTTGAGATTGTTGTACAACATTAGTGATTTCTTTGACTATGGGTATCTCCTTAGACAAGATGAGGATTCGATGTCCAACATGGTCAACAATTT